TAAATCTGGATTCCAGTTCCGACTTACATACAGATTCAACTTCAGAACAAACCTACAGTCCCTATCTTGTACGTAACCCGGGGACTGCCTGTACTCTCACACATCCTTTTTTTTAATTGGCGGGAGAGGAACTTTTTATTAAGACAAAGTTTTTCTTGTATATGTACTTTGAATGAAAGCTTTTCCATTACAAGGACAGACCATATTTCACTAGTCCACAATTCCATAGGAAAGAAGTCACATTTTTCTAATAGTGTGAAATCAAATTCTTACTGCTAATAATAAAAAATAAGTCTTAGAGGGTAGCAGTGTCAGTCTGTAACTTTTAAAACAATGAATAGTCCCTGTGGCACCTTTAGAGACTAACAAATGAGACTAATAGATGAGTTCCAACTTATCTGATGAAGTGGGTTTTATCCACGAAAAAGCTCATGATTCTGTATGTATTTTTGTTAGTCTCTAAGGTGCCACAGGACTATTTATTGTTAATAAAAATAACTTAATTTTGTCATTCTGTTTAAAACATAGATCCTTTACTAGAGCATTAAGTAAGCAGGTCAAGGGAGCTATAAGAAGCTGGCATTTTATCATGAGATGAATCTCTTTAATAATTTCCTTCCAAAATAAATATATTTGGACGTGATTTTTTACAATTTGAGTTTTAACAGTTAAAGCTTTAACTTTTCAATCTATTGTCAATCAGTTGTTGTCAATCCTGCTATGTGTCACTCCTTCATAATTTTGCATAACCGTGAAAATTTTATTTAAAAAAAATAAAAAAATGTACTTAAAAAGAAACATTGCTATCTATTGACATTTAAAAAAAAAATTGAATTCTTCTAAGCCTATCCTTTAACCCAGCTAATTGCATTTTTTTATTTGTGAATAATAATAAAATAACAATAAGCCATATTTAGTGAAAATAGTGCCCTCCGCTTTATAGGATTATACAAAAATATAGAACTCGCGCTTTGCCATTTGTTTCCATGTGTACTTTAATAGTGCATCCTGCCATGTTGTTAATGTATGTTAATGTAATGTCAGAGATACCAACAAGGATACACAGGAAAAAAAATAGTACTTGTGATAGGAAATTAATCTTTACCAAGGCTACCTATCAGCCAAGAAATGTCATATGTATTCCATTTCTCCATGCCTTTTATTATTTTACTCCACAGTGGAAGGTAATTTATCTTAAAAAGATTTTTTTTTCTTTCTACATACAAGGGTTCTTAAACTGGGAGTTGTATCCTTTAGGGAGTCAGGGGCAGGGAGGGGTATGTGACTATATGTCTCTCTGTTAGCTAAGTCTTCTGTGAAGTCTGTAGTAGTAAGTCTGCCATGAAAAGTGATCCTAAGAAGGGGTAGCACTCAGAGGCTTGCTCTGTAAAAGGGGTAGTCAGTTAAAAAAAAAAGGTTTGAAAAGCAATGTTTACAGTATTTATTCCTAAATATTTGAAAGATTTCTTTATCCATTTTAGTTTATGTAGCTGGCAACAGTTTGTTTTGATGCTTTCAGAAGTATTAATTCCTAAAATTTCAGATTTCTCTGTTGGATACCAGAGTTCTGAATAACAGGAAGATGCAACAGATAGATGTTGAACATAATGGAGAGAGGACAAGGGTTACAGCATTAGCAGCACAAGGTTGCTTTTCTTAACAAAGTGTCAGCTGAAGTTTGGAGGTGGTGGGGATTGTAGATCTTCATAGTTTTTTATTTAAAAAATAAGTTGAAAGAGAGAAGGATGTTTAGTATACACACCATTTAAGAAGATCACAAGTTATTTACTTAAAATGTCTACTCTGCTGTATATTTAAACAGTCTTTAAACAAGATATTAGAGGGGTAGCCGTGTTAGTCTGAATCTGCAAAAGCGACGAGGAGTCCTGTGGCACCTTATAGACTAACTGAAGTGTAGGAGCATAAGCTTTCGTGGGCAAAGACCCACTTCGTCAGATGCATGTAGTGGAAATTTCCAGAGGCAGGAATAAATATGCAGGCCAGGATCAGGCTGGAGATGACCAGGTGGATCCAATCAAGGAGGATGAGGCCCACTTCTAGCAGCTGATCTGGAGGTGTGAATTCCAAGAGAATAGAAGCTGCTTTTGTAGTTAGCAAGCCATTCACAGTCTTTGTTTAATCCAGAGTTGATTGTGTCAAACTTAAAGATGAACTGTAGCTCAGCAGTTTCTCTTTGAAGTCTGGTCCTGAAGTTTTTTTGCTGCAGGATAGCTACTTTTAGATCTGCAATTGTGTGTCCAGGAAGATTGAAGTGTTCCCCTACAGGTTTTTGTATGTTGCCATTCCTAATATCAGATTTGTGTCCATTGATTCTTTTACGTAGGGACTGTCCTGTTTGGCCGATGTATATAGCAGTGGGGCATTGTTGGCACATGATGGCATATATTACGTTGGTGGATGTGCAGGAGAATGTACCAGTGACAGTATGGCTGATCTGGTTAGGTCCTGTGATGGTGTTGCTGGTGTATATATGTGGGCAGAGTTGGCACCGAGGTTTGTTGCAAGGATTGGTTCCTGAGTTCGAGTTATTATGGTGCGGTGTGTAGTTGCTGGTGAGAATATGCTTCAGGTTGGCGGGTTGTCTGTGGGCAAGGACCGGCCTACCTCCCAAGGCCTGTGAGAGCGAGGGATCATTGTCCAGGATGGGCTGAAGATCACTAATGATGCGTTGGAGAGGTTTTAGCTGGGGACTATAGGTGATGGCCAGTGGTGTTCTGTTGGTTTCTTTCTTGGGCTTGTCCCGTAGCAGGAGGCTTCTGGGTACACGTCTGGCTCTGTCAATCTGTCTCCTCACTTCCTCGTGTGGGTATCGCAGTTTACAGAATGCTTGTTGAAGGTCTTGTAGGTGTAGGTCTCTGTCTGAGGGGTTGGAGCATATGCGGTTGTACCTCAGTGCTTGGCTGTAAACAATGGATCGTGTGGTGTGTCCGGGATGGAAACTGGAGGCATGCAGGTAAGTATAGCGGTCGGTAGGTTTTCTGTATAGGGTGGTATTGATATGACCGTCACTTATTTGTATCGTGGTGTCCAGGAAATGGACCTCCCGTGTAGATTGGTCCATGCTGAGGTTGATGGTGGGGTGGAAGCTGTTGAAATCATGGTGAAATTCTTCCAGAGTCTCCTTCCCATGGGTCCAGATGATGAAGATGTCATCGATGTAGCGTAGGTAGAGAAGGGGTGTAAGTGGACGAGAGCTGAGGAAGCGTTGTTCCAGGTCAGCCATAAAAATGTTGGCGTATTGTGGGGCCATGCGGGTGCCCATAGCAGTGCCACTGGTCTGGAGGTATATGTTGTCACCAAATCTGAAATAGTTGTGTGTGAGGATAAATTCACAGAGTTCAGCCACCAGTTGTGCTGTGGCATCATCAGGAATACTGTTCCTGACAGCTTGTACTCCATCTGCATGTGGGATGTTTGTGTAGAGAGCCTCTACATCCATGGTGGCTAGGATGGTGTTTTCTGGAAGATCACCTATGCATTGTAGTTTTCTCAGGAAATCCGTAGTGTCACGAAGGTAACTGGGAGTGCTGGTGGCGTAGGGTCTGAGCAGAGAGTCCACATAGCCAGACAGTCCTTCAGTAAGAGTGCCAATGCCCGAGATGATGGGGCGTCCGGGATTTCCAGGTTTGTGGATCTTGGGTAATAGATAGAACAACCCTGGTCGGGGCTCTAAAGGTGTGTCGATTTGTTCCTGTGTTTGTTTGGGGAGTGTCCTGAGCAGATGGTGCAGTTTCTTAGTATATTCCTTAGTGGGATCTGAGGAAAGTGGCCTGTAGAATTT